CGATTCAGCCACACTTCCAGATCTTATAGGAAATTGAACGCTGAGTAAAAAAGATCCTATGAACCTGTGTCCGCAAACCCTTCAGTTCCGAGCTATAGGCAAGAAACCATGAAAAACGACGTTTTTTGACCTTATTCGTGAAATTGTTAGTAAACCGTTAGCTTGACCATAAAACAGCTCGAAACAACATCTGTAGAGGATTAATTTCTGCATCGAATGAGATTAAAACCAGCTTGATCGGCGAAAACTTCATTTTTGGAGATTTTTCGAAGTTAGGAGGTGAAGGGGTACATAAAATTCACAATTTCCGACATTTTCATCAAAAATTAATGTAACTGTTTTCTGATGGGTAAGCCGTTCAAATTTTTCGTACATTATTTCATTCAGTTGGGGGTACCCATCAGAAAACAGTAACAATCGATTTGGGTGCAAAGCAGTAAATTAGCCAAAATTCGAATGTTTCATGAATCGGACTGGGGTTGGTCTAATGTGACGGACAATTCGATCACCAACAAACGAGGTTTGTAACGGAAATTTTTTTGATATGGTGTTCAAGTTGTGAATATTCGATAAAAAATGTCGGAAATGGTGAATTTTGTGTACCCCTTCACCTTCTAACTTCGAAAAATTGCCAAAAATGACGTTTTCAGCCGATCAGGCTGGTTTTAATCCCATTCAACGCAGAAATGTATCCTCTACAGATGTTGTTTCGAGCTGTTTTACGGTCAGGGTAAAGGTTTACTAACAATTTCACGAATAAAGTAAAAAAACGTTGTTTTTCATGGTTTTTTGCCTGTAGCTCGGAACTGAAGTGTTTGCGGACACAGGTTCATAGGATCTTTTTTACTCAGCGTTCAATTTCCTATAAGATCTGGAAGTGTGCTGAATCGATTGGGGCCACTCTGTATATACTGCTGTATGTAGCCATTGGGCCATTTTCTGGATTTATCGTTAGACCTCAAGATATCTGTTTGCGAATAACTATCTATTTCTCTCTGTATATAGATTTTTCTAGTTTTGTTTACGTAATAAACTAGTACTTCTGTGTTTATAGTCTCATAAGTGATGGTCGGTGTTGTAGTATTGTTTAATAAATAAATATGTGTATGTACAAACTTAAGTTAATTAACATGGAGTAATTACAATCTTAATGGAAAAAAATGGTATAAAGTATTTCAAAATAAGGGAAAACCAGACTCCACGTATTCGAATTTTATCTTCTCATCCTAGTGTACTGTTTAGTCAGTAAAGTTGCCAGTCCGTTTTACGTATAAGAAAGAAAATAGAAGGGAACCGTCGTGAACGAAAATAGTTTATATGTATGAGGGATAAGAGACCATTCAGCTTATTTGCGGAGATGGAAAACTCCCTGAATCGCGGAGGCATTTTGCCAAAATGGGATTAGTTTGGCGCCTCCTCACACCTCTTCATTAAAAAACAAGGAAAACTTCACGACATGGTCTCTAAATAATATAGAAACATTCCTACCATCTAGACTCCCTTCATTCTGGTCGAAGCAGATCGATAATCATGAGTATTAGGAGCGGTCGTTACTCCGGTGAGGTTGAGCGAGCAAAACTTGATTTCATTCAAAACAACTTTGCTACCGGCGAAAAAGTACTAATAACATTAGTAGGACTTCTTTTGACCAAACCGAACAATAATAATCAACAAAACCACTGTATAAATTAATTATCTATCTGCTCGTAGTCAAACTCGATAAAAGATAAATAATAAAATTATGACAAATTTACCGTTTAGGGCATAAAAATTATCAACCGTCAGGAAAGCCTTTTCGAGGATATCAAACTTTTCATTTTCTTTCTGGGATATCGGTTTTATAAATAATTCACACATCCAAATTTTATTCTGGTCGCAAATGGATTGCACAGATTAAAAACGTCATCGTTTGACATATTTTTTTGGCTATTGTTTACGACTCGGCCATAAAAAGTTTCGATTATAGCTTTCGAATTAATTTCTTCTATGATTAATTTGTCCTTGTTGATTATTTAATTGTCAATAAATTAATCATATTTGGCTCGTATTATATTTAAATTAAAAAAACATTACTTTAAGTGGAAGAGTGTTTAATTATCATACAAAAATAGAAATTACCTATGTCACGTGCTAAAAATAAGTTCTACCAAAAACATAAAACGCTCAAAAATCTATTATAATGGAGTTTTCTTTTAAATTCATTATTCATATCACAGAAATGGGGTAAGTAAAAATATGCCTATGATGCTTAACTGCATGTTTTCTAGTTTACAAATTAAATTCACTAGTTTTCGTGGTCCGCTTGACCAATTAATATCTATCAATAAATTAAGGTTTTTAGTTGAGATAAAAAAGTCAGTGTCATGAGCGGGATTCGAACCCATGACCTTCGGCAAGATACGCCGCTGCTCTACCACTTGAGCTATCGTGACTTCGATCCCTTCGGGCACTAACTTCCCATCTGAACCCCACCTTTCGAATTTGCCCTCCTTTTTGCCATTTTTCAAATGTCGTGTAATCTATTTGATTCTCGGCGACAAATGAAATGGCCACGGAGAGCTTTAGTGAAGATATACTTCGTTTTACTTATTAAATCCATTATATTTCGTGGTCCTCTTGACCAATAAATTATTTTCAATTAATTAAGGTTTTTAGTTGAAATAAAAAAGTTCAAATCCCGCTCGTGACACTGACTTTTTTATCTCAACTAAAGACCTTAATAAAATGAATTACATATTAACGTTTTAACAGAAAGTTAAGGAGGAAAAATATTCCGACTTCCGTTTTGGATACCAGGCTTCCTTGTCCAGGCCTTGTCCTGTTCTAAAATTCATTGTATATTTTACTCAAAACATTAATATCAGTTTTTAAATTGCACGAATTCCTATCCTGGTAATTAAATCAACTCTTTCACATGGCGGCGACTGTATTTTTCTCTGTGGTCATGATATTGACTTTACCAAAACCATGACTTTTAGTATGTTTATGTTTCGATAACGCAGTTCCAGGATTGAGTATCTGTGAGCCAAAATGAAATAAAAAATTGTATTATTTTATTAAACGTTATCTGTCTCTGTAGTGCCCTGAGGAAGACAATAAAAATGGTCGAAAGCTTGGCGTTGAAAAAAGTACTATTTGTAGTAATAAGTGATCCAATTTTATTTTATTTACGTTCACACTGAGTGCTCAATAAAATACGTAATCCGCCAAAATGTTAGTCGAAAGAAAACCATTAATCGGTCATACGTTTTGAGAAGTGTTTACCCTTAACGGGAACAAGGGACCGAATCAAAACAAAAGTTCTGAATTGTACCCTTTGAATGGGTGCTTTAGAATCTTAGACGCAGTTTTATTGTACGCAACACGACAATACCTTTCTGTATGAATGGATCTTGAGTAGAAAGGATTGATTTTATTAGTTCTCGAACGTTCATAATAAATGATGTTTCACCTTGGAGTGTTTTCTGAAACCATCACTCTCCCCTGAATATCGATTGGTACGTCAAAGCTGAAAATCCATCTGCCGAATTATTCTTTTATACTTGATTCGTATATTCTGTAGGGATGTGTTTTAAGGTTGCATCGTTTTGTTCTTTTCTTTTAAACAATTCGCGGGTGCGTCACGTGAAAAAAAAAATAAAAAAACACCCGTCAGAGACAGCGCCATTACGGAGAAAGAGAGAGTACCACGGCCAATGGGAAAACTGGGACAGACGATTTGTAATGGACGGAGGGACGTACCAAGCTTGCGTTTTGTCGCAATAGTGAATAATGGGCCTTTGGCCATAGTCGAGCTAAGCGAACAACCAACGTTCAGCTCACATGAATCAGCGCCTCCATAAGGGCCAGTGGTAACAAGGACTTGAATGTTCCCTATTATAAAATTCATTCCATTTATAAAACTATTAAAATTCCATAGACTTAAAATGCACATTCTTTCTTTAATTAGGAAGGGTGACACATCAAATTTGTGGACCACAAGAGAAAATGACGAATTGTAGGATGTTCCTCTAAAATCTGCATCCGGTTAGCTTTCTACAACCTCGGAACAAGAATAAACCTTTGGAATAGTAACAATCAAAAAACATAAATAATTTAATATATTTTACAATAAAGATGGAGAATTGGGGTCAGAAAGGATCGAAGTCACGATAGCTCAAGTGGTACAGCAGCGGCGTATTTAGCGGAAGGTCGTGGGTTCGAATCCCGCTCATGACGCTGACTTTTTATCTCAACCAAAAACCTTACATAAAAAAGAAAATGAAAATTCTTGCTATATGAGGAAATAATACACTCAAAGACAACAAAATCGGATACTCGTATTGTTTATTTCAAACTATATGTATTTATATCGTTACACCATACTTCCCAATTAAACAAGATCAAAAAATCATGAGTTTTCATAATCATACAATTATGATCATTTGAAAGAAAATTCAACAAAACAAGGTAAAATTATTTAGTGATAACTAACAATTTATAATTATTCAGGAATCGTGAGATGCGACTGGCACTCTCAACACGACACGCAAGAATGGCACAATTACTCAGAAGATAAACACTTTGAGCCCTGAAGATGATCTCAATAAAGATCGAAACGTTGGCACCATAAAGAAAATGTTTTTCTAAACCTCCGTCACATCAGATCGCATCTCACCATCTCCAGATAATCATTAATTAACGGTCACTAAACACCACACACATCTACCTAATAGTTTATTTTCGAGAATAAATCTATTCAGTTTTCGTTTCTTGCAACAATGCAAAAAAAGTTTTTAAATACTTTGATTGAATATAAATTAAAAAAATATTTTTGCCTTGTATAAATTCACTTTTTCCACATCCTACATGTATTTGTTAAATTTAAACAATGTTTGTAAATCCCAGGCCCTGAAGATGATCTCAATAAAGATCGAAACGTTGTCACGATAAAGAAAATGTTTTTCTGAACCCTACATCACACCAGACCGCATCTCACGATTCCTGAATAATTATCGATTAACGGCCACTAATCACCACACATTTCTAACAATTTATTTCGAGGTTTTACTCTTAATAACGCGTATTACCTCATCAGGCCTCCCGGAGAGCCTAAGCATCCTAGGCATTGAGTAAATAAGAGACGGAATTTCGTCTGGAGAAACAGAATCCATTTTTTAACAAGAACGGTTTGAAGCTGTTCGACGCTTATGATGATTATTATTTTATTCGTGCCAAGAGAACTGGCCAGGTCATTGTAATCAAGGTCAGTAATCCCCATATCCTAAAGTAAGGTCAACCGAGCTACGTGCAATCGAACATCATCATATATTAACACGAAGTTGTCCCCAATTAAATGGAGCGAATGGGACGACAGCTTCCAGAATAACATCTTCAACATACTTAAGAGCAGTCACAGGTTCGTACTATGATAATCAGTTCGGTACGGGGATGGACGTTGATTCCACACCCCATACCATAACTGAATGTCTTTGAAGAGGCTACGATTCACGCATGGCAGCTTTATTCTCGTCTTCTCCCATGGTCCCGGTCATCTGATTGCCACAAACCGACCTGGCATTCATCAGTGAAGATAAGAGCCATCATTGATCAAGTGTCCAAGTGAGATGATGATTTTAATTACTTTTAGAATGATTGTAAAGTTTTCCCAAATCTAAAATGTAGGTTTTCATAAATCAAGACGGGAGATTCTGGCCTCAACCCGGGTACTAAACGACTACTTAAATGTTACTAACAAATCAAAAGAAATTTACTCAACTTGGTCGAATATTTTACTTTTTAAGTACTAATCAATCTTTATAAAAAAATATCATCCAGAAGAAAACTTCAACATGTATTTCTTTATGCAGGAACCATAGAAACACATTTTGTTTGAAATCTGAAAAGCTTAGAGACAGAATATTATTAAGTTTGACAGAAAAGTTAAACAATAAGACCTAATCAATCAATTTTTGTTCTAAATCAATAGCGGATAATTCCGGCCCAATCATAAGTTTAAAATAATGATAATAATTATTCGGAAATGGTGAGATGCGGTCTGGTGTGATGTAGGTTTCAGAAAAACATTTTCTTTATCGTGTCAACGTTCCGGCCTTTATTGAGATCATCTTCAGGGCCTGGGATTTACAAACATTGTTTAAATTTAACAAAACAATGTAGGATGTGGAAAAAAGTGAATGTATACAATGCAAAAAATATTTTTTATATTCAATCAAAGTATTTCTACTCACTTTGAGAATCGGGAATCACTCGAAGTGAGTAAAAATACTTTGATTGAATGTAAAAAATATTTTTTGCATTGTATAAATTCACTTTTTTCCACATCCTACATGTTTTGGTTAAATTTAAACAATGTTTGTAATCCCAGGCTCTGAAGATGATCTCAATGAAGATCGAAACGTTGACACGATAAAGAAAATGTTTTTCTGAAACCTACATCACACCAGACCGCATCTCACGATTTCCGAATAATTATCGACTAACGGTCACTAATCACCACACATTTCTACACGAGAATAATAATAATAATATATATATTAATAGAATGATATATATAATAATAATGATAAAATAATAATGTGTATTGCTTGTTAAGAAGAGTCCTTAAATTTATTCCTTAAATATCTGATATCTGAATAACCAGAATTGACGAAACTTGGCAAATGATCAAAAGGTTTATTGCCTGATCTACCTTCAAAATCTTGTTGAAATCGGCTTGGAGAAATCCGATCACGTGACCCAATGGCGTAATTATTTGTTTATTGTTTAAACCAGGTGAGAGTACAAAATACATCTTCCTCATCCTGCAGACTCTATGAAGAAATCTCGTAATTTAGTTTATCTCTATTTCAATTTTCTAAGAAACAACGTTTAATTCTACATTCAAGGATTTAAGTTGATAAAGTCACACGGGAAAACCGTTCGTTTCGACCTCTTCTCATTAGAGTCAAGGGCTGATTTTTATTTTATGGCATATGGCCGATGTATCTGAGAAGCAGGTTACGTTAAAGACGACTTCGTCCTTCCTCTTCCACCTAGAACTATAATTGCCTCGATCTGTTAACATGGTCTTGCCACCCGGTTTCTCGTGTTGTGGGAGCAGCCCCGCGTCGATGTACCCAAACCAAATACGGCCGCGGTAGCCTGTCAAACACTATAATAAAAAAAAATTAACAAGGGTATAATTAATCCTCGGGAATGGGGAAGACTGGAAAATTTATATT